GGAGGGAGGAATGGCAAGCAAATGGACAATGGTGGTTTCAGATTGAAAAGACCACTCACATTTCATGTCATACATCTGATCTTAGCTGGCTTAGATAGAAATAGGCTAGCTATCTTACAAAATATTCACCGCAGTAGGCTATGTGCACCTGTTCCAATCCCCAGTGAACCCCTTAACTCTTCCAGCTCAATTACTTCCCAGCCTGTTGGATCTGCTAACAGCGGGAAATAGATACTCCCTTTGATCCAGTCTTGGTTATGAAGCTGCTATGTCTATCCATAGGCTCAGTAGACAAGACAGCCCATCTGCCAGACCATCAATAAAATCAAACAACTGACCAATATATGTGTGGAGGGACTGTGGAATTCATTCTTTTCAGATGCTCGTGCATTTTACAAACACATCCCATGCACCCATTCACAGACTCATGGCCAATGTAGTTCCTGTCATCTGGCCTCATGGTAAGCTGTACTAGCAAAATGGTGTTTGAATCACACCAAATGCTTTGTTATACCACCATCAACACTTATTGACAATTTTTTTTTGTCTCTGTCTATTGAGAAATTGTACTGCAGGAGTTATGGGCAATTTCTTCATTCATTTGCTTGTTCGATTTTTGGTGTTGTCCTTAATCTGTTTTTGAGATGAGTATAGCACTCTAAATGAAAATATCTCCCTCAGATATCTGAAAAATCAGTTCTCAGTTGGTGAGACTATTTGGGGAAGTATAAGAGGTGTGGCCTTGCTGGGGGAAGTATGTCACTGGGGAGTGAGTGCTCTTTGGGCATTTATAGTCCCACCCCACATCCAGTTTGCTTTCCCTCTCCATTCTTGGGGTTAAAGATGTGAGCTCTCAGCACCCTGCTTTGGTCACCATGCCTACCGCCTAGTGCATGCCTCCCACCATGATAGACTTATGGATCTGGAACCACAAGCCAAAATAAACTCTTTCACCTATAAGCTGTTTTGATCATGGTGTTTTATCCCAGCAGCAGAGGAGTGTCTACTACAGAAATGTAACACTGACTGAACTTATATGGTTCGTGTTGTAATGTCTCTCACCTTCTATTTCTATCATTCTGTGAAGCATTAGTGTTAAGTCATCTTTAAAGGTTTGGTAGGATTCAGCAGTGGTATTCATGCAGTCCTGGGATTGCTTTGTTGGGAGATTCAAAATTACCTTTACTTTTTGAGGATTGTTTAATCAATTCTTTGATTTGATTTTGGTAGATAACATGTCTAGTTATTCATCTATGGAATATCTTTTCAAAATATTCTTAATGATCATTGTAATTTCATTCTAATCCATTATACTATCCCTGTTTTCATATCTAATACTCTTGATTTGGGGCTTCTCTTTCCCTTTTTGTTAGATTTGTTGAAGTTTTTAATTGTGTTCATAATTTTTAAACCAACTCTCTATTTGCTAGAGTCTATGTGTATTGCTTATTTATTTTGTTGTTCTGTGATGGGATTTCAAATACCTCAGAATGCCTCAAACCCACTGTGTAGCTAGAGATAGCCTTCAACTTCAGATCCTCCTAACATCACCTTCCCAGTGCTAGGATTACAGGTATGTGCTGGTGCACCTCATTTACTCAGTGTTGGAGATTGAATCCTGAATTTTGTCCATGCTAAACAAGCAGTGCCAACTAACCTAAATCCTGTGCCGATGATGTATTAATATTCTTTTAATTTGGATTCCATTCATTTATGCTCTGATATTTATTGCTTCCTATTGCTTTTGAACTTGACTTGCTCTTGTCTTTTTTTTTTTTTTTTAACTGTGAGGTACATCATTAGGTTATTTATTTGAGAACTCTCCGACTGGCTAATGTACACACTGGTAGCAGTAACTTTCCTCCTAAAGCTGTCTTGGCTCTGTTGCAAAGGTTCTGTTCAGTTGTACTTTTATTCACCTGTGATTTGAGAAATTTAGCAATTTCTTCCCTGGTATTCTTCTTGTTTGTTTGTTTGTTTTGTTTTGTCTTGTTTTATTTTTTTTAAAGATTTATTTATTATGTATGCAACATTCTGCCTCCACGTATGCCCACACACCAGAAGAGGGCACCAGATCTCACTACAGATGGTTGAGAGCCACCATCTGGTTGCTGAGAATTGAACTCAGGACCTCTGGAAGAGCAGCCGGTGCTCTTAACCACTGAGCCATCTCTCCAGTCCTCCGTTTTGTGTTGTTTTGTTTTGGTTTTTTTTTTGTTGCTGTTTTTCCAGAGAGGGTTTCTCTGTAGCTTTGGAGCCTGTCTTGCAACTAATTCTTGTAGACCAGGCTGGCCTTGAACTCAGAGAGATCCTCCTGCCTCTGCCTCTGAGTGCTGGGATTAAAGGAGTGTGCCACCACTGCCTGGCTCCCCCCTGTTATCTTTCATGACACTCTTCATTCAAGGGTGTATTATCAGTCCCCAAGTATCTACTTACTTTCTTCAATTTCTCTTGTGGGATTATCATATCAGATGACAAAGTAAGCTATTTTTCTTATTTGTTAATATTTAGTCAGTATTTCCTGTCCTTGGTTCCAGCTCAGCTTTCCCTGAGTTGATATATGGCAAACTGGTTTTCTTCCTTGTATTCTTCCATAGTCATTAACTACAAAGGGTAGAATGTAAGAAAGACTGTAAGGTGCCGGAACTCAGCAAAGCCTTAACAAATCTTCATACAAAATGTTAGTGGACTTCATGTTAAGTGTTCTGCCTCTTCATCTTATTTTCCTTGCCGTTGCCTATCTGTAGCTGCTATACTCAACCTGATGGGGATCTCAGATTCCCTAGGCTGTGCTACAAGCTGCCTCTGTCTTTGGGTTCCTCTGTAAGGCTACGATTTTTTTTCCTGCAGGCTCTGAAAACCCGAATCAGTGACATGCCCACCATAAAGAAGTTCCTGCAGCCTGGCAGCCAGAGGCAGCCTCCCGTTGATGAGAAAAGCATACTAAAAACAAGGAAGATTTTCAAGTTTTAAGGAAGAGACATGGACCCTGCGCTACACCTACATCCTGATCCTGAAGACTCTGAGACAATGAGCTCTCTCACGTATGCGTATTAGTGAAACCATGGGCTCCAGGACACAGATTAATGAAAAGTCTTTTACTTAGGGTAGGCTGTGGGATTGGTTTTCTAATTTCCTGACTTAACTCTTTCCTGTAATAAAAAAAATTAATACAAAAATGAAGATTATGTGGCTTGTTTTATAGTTCTGGCATCTTTCATATCATCTATCAAAGAGTCAAGTTTAGAAATGTCACTTGATGTTCTTAGGTTTATAGAGTCATGACTGTAATTCTAGAGTACCCGGAGTGACGATGTTTTATTTTCTTCTTAGAGACTTATTTTTATTTTGGTCTTGCTTGTTTATTCATTTGTTTTGAGACAGTGCCTCGCTTTGTAACCTTTGCCGTACTGGAACTTGCTATGTACACCATGCTGACCTCAAACTCGCAGAGAAATGCCCCCTCTGCCTCCAGAGTACTGGGATTAAGGATGTGTGTCACAATACCTGTCTGGGATTTTATTATTATTTTAGTAATAAAAATTTTAGTTTTTATTAGCTATTTCTCTGAAAACCCTTCAGTTATATTTGGTCATCTAAGAGGATTAGAGTTTGGTTTTATTTGTATGTTTGTTTATAATTTATTTATTTTGATTTATGTGTGTGAATATTATACCTATATGCATGTATATGTACCATGTGTGTGCCTGGTACCCAGAGGCCAGAAAATGGTGAGGGTATCAGATTCCCTGGAATCAGAGTTACACATGTTTGTGAGCTACCATGTGGGTATTGAAAGTTGAAACCATGTCCTTTGCAAGAGCAGCAAGTGCTCTTAAATGTTGAGCCATTTCTCCATCCCTAATGGTTAGTTTTAATTATTAACTCAACACAGTCTATAGTCACCTGGGAGGGAGTCTCAAGAGTTTGTCTAAACAGGTTGTCTAAACATGGGCATGTCTGTGGAGATTTGTTTGCCCTGTGTTAATTGTTACGTGAAGACCCAGACCACTGTGGTGACACCATTCCCTGGGATTGGGTTCTGGAGTGCATTTAGAAGTAGAGAAGATGGGCTGAGTAGTAAACATTGGAGGAGTCCTGTCTCTGCTCTTGACTTTCTGTGACCAGCTGCTTCAGGCTCCTGGGTGAGGACTTCCTCACGGTGATGGATTGCAACCTGTAACTGAGAGCCGAACAAACCCTTCCTCTCTTAAAGCTGCTTTGGTCGGGGCATTTTATCACAGCAGCAATCAACGGAGCTAAGATACACTTTTACGTGAGAAATTTAGAACTGGGCATCAGCTTCCTGTATGCTGTTAAACTCTGCTTGCTGGGTTCACACATCTGATTCATAAAAATATAGCAGGGCTTTACTTCAAAACTCCATTCCACATGGTGGTACATGCCTTTAATTCTAGCACTTGGGAGGCAAAGGGAGGCAGATCTTTGTGAGTTCAAGGCCAGCCTGGTCTACAAGAGCTAGTTCCAGGACAGGAACCAAAAAAAAAAAAAAAAAGCTACGGAGAAACCCTGTCTCGAAAAAAAAATTAAATTAAACTTTGAATCACACATTTAAAAATACAGATACTTAAAACATGGTATCACCTCTTTCTTTTTAGAAATCCCTCCTGGTTGTCTAGAAATATATTTCATTAAAAACTGCATTTGAAACATGATCTTGCAGCAGCTGCATTTGCCTGCACTGGGCCAGAACAAAATTGGGCCTGACAGCAGCTAATCTTGTCTTAGGAAAGGGACTTACAGCAGATGGATTCCGAGGAGGGACAGTATTTGTCTTCAGTTGTGTATGAAGCTCATAACAGTGAGCACACCAGATTCCAATGGAAAATTCCAAACCCATAGCCACACTGCTGGTCCTGGATAAAATCAGCAGCTCACAAAACAAAACAAAAACAAAAAAACACGAGTGTGGAAATGTCCTTGTGGGAGGAAGAAAGGGCCTTGTAGGAGGAAGGGATGGAGAGAGGATCGAAAGGAAAGAACTGAAAGCAAACAAAATGCAATGTACACCTGTATAAAATTCTCAAAGAAAAAATTAAATTGATATAAAATTAAACTGAACAATCATTTAAAAGTTATAGCTCTGCACCATGTAACTTTGCAAGACCATTTCTGGAAGTTTTCTGAGCACAGTCTGTTCTTTGCTATGTTATGTAACAGTTTGAGAAGTTGTGTAACCATGTGGAGCTGAGGCCAGGCCTTGGGAGTGCTGCTTCCAATAAGTCCTCTGTTTCTATTCAAGCCACAAGTGGCACGGGAGTCACTGAATTTCACTGTCTGGTTCTTTGCTCTGTCCCCTTTTCCACGCTGCTAAGACAGAAGAGCATCTATCCGATGTTGGCTGGACCTAATCAGCACGTCCCTCTCCTTCACAAAGACTGCATAGCACATCCATGTGCATACATTCATAGGCAGAACACATAAAAAACTAAAGTACACTTGTGGTTCTTGTTTCTAAATCTTGCAAAACTAGTTTGGTAGGGTCTTGAGATAAGGGTAGGCAGTTAAAATTAGAGGCTGCCCTTCCAGTGGACCCAGCAGCCTCATGTGACCACAAAGATCTGCATCTTCAGTTCTGGGGGAAACCAGTATGCTCTTTGGATCTTTCTTTGGCCTCCCTGGGCACCAGGAACACATACGGCAAACAAACGCACATACAGGACACTCATCGACATAGAATAAAAATATACTAAAGCTGGTTTTGTTAGACCTTTTTGCCTTTGGTTGTAGTGCAGAACAAACAGCAGGCTGAAGCACAAAGATGAGGATGCTCTGGTCCCCAGCATAGGTGGTGTGGATTGTAAACAGAGCACAGAAAGCAGAGGGCTGGAGGGGACCGTCCATCACAAGGTGGGCGTGTGTTGCGTGAAGTTGGGTGGCCAGAAGAGGGTATCAGATCCTCTGGAAATGGAATTACAGACAGTCATGAGTCACCATGTGGGTGCTGGGCGCTGAACCTGTATCCTCTGCAAGAGCAACAAATGCTCTTAAATGCTGAGTCATCTCTCCAGTCCCCCTACGGCTTTTGAAAAGATTGATTTTTAAAATGATGTCTAATTATGTATATGTATGTATCTCTGTATATGTGAGGGCAGGAGCTTGCTGAGATCTGAGCTCTCAGATGCCCCTCAAGCTGGAGTTGAAGATGGGTGCAAGCTGCCTCAATAGGTGATGGGAACCAAACTTAGGACCTCTGTAGTAGCAGAATGTTCTCCTAAATGCTGAGCTGTCTCTGTAGCCCAGTTCTTAACATTTGTTAAAGACAGTAAGCAACTGGGTTTGGTGTGTGTATTTGCTATAATACACTATCCATTGTTATTTAAAGCATAATTCCACTTGTATAAAAATGGGCTGATTGTGGTGGTGGTGGTGACAGCTGGTGCCTCACCCACTGCCAGTTAACTACATCTCCATCATATATATCAAGAGGCCCTGTACAATCTCTGGCCTCCTCCATGTAGGTTTCAGAAGTACACTCTGTGGTGGTCATACGATAAAGAAAAGGTATATTTCTCTACAATTGTCCTGACCTTTAGTGATGCCTGCTACAGTTCATGAGACCTTTCCATAGACTGTGAGAAATACAAGAAGCCATAAAGACTACCACTGGGGTGGGATCACTAAGAGTTTTAAAATAAATATTGCCTCTTCAGTTTTTTCTCGTTATATTAACCGCCATACATTCATTATTCCAGCAATCTCTCACCTGAGAATTGGCCAAGGACAATCACATTTCATACACGAGACTATTTGATAAAATCTCATACATTTGTACCATACTAATACATTCGTACCAGGAAGACACTTTAGAAATTCCTCTGAACCTACCATAAAGAAGATAAACATGGCTGGGCAGTGGTGGTTCATGCCTTTAATCCCAACACTCAGAAGGAAGAGACGGGTGGATCTCTGTGAGTTCAAGGCCAGCCTGGTCTACAGAGCAAGTTCCCGGCTGTTACACAGAGAAATCCTGTTTTGAAAAAAAAAAAAGCTACACAGTGCTTCAGTAGAGTTGCTACTATTTAACCATGTTTTATGTCATGCATTTATGCTATCCTGGTTTGGTCCACTGATATATGTATTTATGCGTGAGTAAGCAAACAGAGGAACAGTTGAAATGCCAGGGCAGAAAAAAAGGGCATCTGGTCACACTGGGCTGACCCTATGTTAGAGATAGACTCGGATTGGGACAGTTTAAGTTGGTTCTAAATGTGACTCTATCTAGTACTTTTATTGTATCAGTGGGAAGCCAACTTTGCTACAAGCTATTTCTAGAGTTATGCCTTAAATAAAATTTCTCAGTTTTGAAGATACACATAAATATACTTAACCTCATGATTATGTATTTCTACATACCAAAGAATATAGACATTAAAACAACATTAGGAGACTTATCACAATTTGAGATTCGTATTTAAATGTGATATAAACAAAGCATAAAGCAATTGACACATATTATTCTGTGATTACAACTACAAATAAAGAATAAATATTTAATGACATTATCCAATTTTTACTTTTTTGGAGCTATGGATTCAGCTCAGTGGTAGAGCACTTGGTTAGAGTGTACAATTCACTAAGCCCCATTCCAAGGCCTGATTTAAAAAAAAAAAAAAAAAAAAAAGAGAGAGAGAGAGAGAGAAAAAAGAAGAAACATTGCTACCTACTGAGGTGTGAGAATCAGCGGTGATTGTTTATAAAATCACCACAGTGTTTCAGAGGGACGCACTGAAGTGATTAAAAATAATATATGTGGTACATATCATCTTACCATAGAAGATGACATACTGATACATGTTGCAACAGTGAGTGGATCGTGAAAAGATGTGCTAAGTGGTGGAAGACGGAACAGCCATGTAGTGTATTCTGTTTACTTGAAATGTAAAGAAACCCTGGAGCCTACTGGGAAGAGAAAGTAACTACTAAACGGGTAAATGGCAAGGAAACTGTTCTGGACCTAGAGAGAAGTGATGGTTTACCTACACCATGAATCCGCTAAATACCACTCAGCCGTTATCACTTAAAAATGTGTGATGTTTGGTGATTTTTACCTTAAGAAACCCCAGAAAGGAAATGCTAAGGTATGAAGACTTAAATATATGCCTTAAAAATATAAAGGAAAAATAATAACATATGTGGTATATACATATTTATGTGGAAGAACTTCCTTGAGCTGTTACAATGAAGGAGCATGGACAAGAACACGGATGTCTTTCCTGATCACACACCTTCATCCCAGGTCTGCCCTGTCTTCACTCTGTATTCATCCCCTCTCCATCTCTCTGTCCAGGCTGTTACCGCGAGCTCCACTGCTGGTCTCTGCACAGAACCCATGCATACACATGCTTTCACACTCCTCAGTCCCCTCAGTTTTAGTTTTCGGAGTGAGAACTGGCCATGATGGCTGCAGTTAGATTTATCATTTCTAGCTCCACTTCCATCTACATGCTCTATGTTTTTATTCTATTTTGGATTTTAGTTTAACAAGCATACTTGGGTTTACAGAAGGAAAGAGCCACACTCAAGTCCAAACCCAGCTTTAATTTTGAATTGGACTGAAACTACAAAAAAAAATTGTATTATATGTCTGTAGAGAACAGCAGAAACAAACATTTGGGAAGATTTATAAAACTTTATCCCATTAAAAATGTGATATACCACTAGGTCAATTTACTCTTTTGGGGGGGACATTTATTCTGGATGATTTGTCCTTTTTCTTCAGATGTCTCATTTGTCCAGAGGTCTTCAGATTCCTTAGCTGGACATCTTTATTCCTCTGAAAAGACAGAAACAGAACCCTTCCCCAACTCTAATTTTGGGGAGATTTTCTTTTGGCAGGTTATATCTGATCAAATGAAAAGCATTTGTTAGTTTTATATGCTAGTGTAGATTAAATGTCCATGCTGTTTGAGGAACTACTATCTCTTCTAATTAAGAGATATCTCTTTTTCAAATCAAATCTTCATTAATGTTGATAATATCCATAGCTTTACTCCTGTGGAAACAAAAGAAAAACCCCATGCCCAACGTAACACATATCCTGGTTTCCATTCTGAGGTCAGTGCATCTTTAAGGTTTATCAGCTGATTTAATTCTGTAGTTTACTCTGCTGTCTAATGTCTCCTCATGGTTGTTGTTCCATTCTCATTAGCATTTAGAAAATTCAAAGTTATTAAAGCATTATGAGATCTAAAGACATACAGGGTCCAAAAGAAACCTTCATGGGTTTCTTACAAAGATTGACATGAAATCTGTTTCTGGGGGGTATTTGTCATCCTTTTCTGTTTATTTAACATATCCTTAAGAGTTTGATTTGATCTTCTATAACTGTTTGCCCTGTAGGATTGTGTGGTATACCTGTGATATGTTTTATATTATAATAAGCAAAAAACTGTTTCATTTTCTTAGAGACATATGCTGGACCACTATCTGTCTTTATTTGTGCAGGTATTCCCATGAAGTCCATAATTTCTAGTAAATGTGTGATTGCTGAATCAGGTTTTTCCAAACTCAAAGCAGTTCCCCATAGAATACTTAAATAAGTATCAATAGTGTAGTGTACATATTTTAACTTTCCACCTTCTACAAAATGGAACACATCCACCTGCCGGATTTCATTTCTTTGAGTACCCTTTGGGTTACTTCCTTTATCCCTGTTGACCTACATTCATTAGTCCCATGCCTGTCTTTTTCGTACCTTCTGCATAATTCATGAAGGAAGGTTGTTCTGAAATGTTTAGAAAAACATTATTTCTAGGAACATTCTATTTACAATCCATTTTAAGGTGATTTTGTTTGCCACAATTGAAACACTTGACATTTCAATTTTTCTTTAAGCCTCTGGAAATCACCTCTCCTATCAAAGTATCATTATGATCATGAGATTCAATATTAATTGTATTTTAAATCCAGTCTTCCAAAGGTACTGACATTGCCAAATTAATAGCCAATTATTCTTTTGCATTGAGAATTAGCAATTTCGAAACCTAGAGATTCAATTATTATTTGTCTCGCTTTTGAATTTGGTATCATTCTATTTACTGCTGATGTCAATCTTTGTAAGAAATCAGTGTAGGGCCCTGTATGTCTTTAGCAAATGAATCAATCTTGGTTCCTATTTCTTTAATTCTGTCCCAAGTATCCAAAGCTGATGCACAGCTGAAAGTTAGGATGTGACCATAATATAGGGATTGCATTCACAACCATCTAAACTCCATTCAAGAGGGTTCTGATTATGTCTTCTTGGCCATGTGGGTACCAAGGATACAGGTGGTGTAAAGAAATACCTGCAGACAAAATGCCCATGCGCATTAAACGAATTGAAGAAAGACATCTGTAGAAATGCCACTAAGCTGTTATCTCTACCAGTTCACCTTTTTAAAGTATGTTTTTGCTTCTGCGGAGGCACCTGCCACTAGATTAAAGGTGTGATGTGGTTTGTTAAGGTGTGGCTGCAACTTAAGTTCCACAAATTAAGTACATTTGTAAAGAATGTTTTCCAAATTCAATTCATAGTTATAGGATCCTAGAATTGGTCTTGGCCCTATCCTTTGAGGGGGGCGTGTTATTAACTTACTCTTCAGTATAGTTTACAAAACATGGCAATTTCTGAACATGAATGATAGATGATTTGGGGTTGGCTATACTACTTTACTTTCATATTTGTTAGACATTATTTACCGAGTGGGTACGATGGTCATAATTTTGTGCCCATTTTCAGGTACTTGACACTTGCAAAAGCCCATGAGAGAAGCACATTCTACATATAATGTGAAAATAACCCCAGACAGCATAACGGAGAAAGCTCAGCAGCAGCTGAAGGCAGAAAAGTCTGGTCGAACACAGAGAACATCTACAGGACTTTTGGTGAGAAGGCAAAATCCAGGACACCGTGTCAATGTGACTTTCAAAGGAAGCATCTTTTCAGAATGATCACATTCCCACAATCTTTAGGACATACTTCTATTAGTAATCACTACTTGTCTGAAATGCAGCTGTTTGTCCTGTTCCTCACCTGGTGGCCCAGTCAACAGAAACACTCCCCAGTGCCATCAGCTTCTTTACCGCATCTCCCAGCTTACTTAGAGATTTCCCACTTGCTTTAGCCCTTGCCTGCCATGCACAGAAACCTCACAGGGAGTTTCTTGTGAAGTCTATCCTCACTGACACACAGAGAGTTAAATCTGTCTGAATTCCATTCTTCAAGGTCTCCACTAGCAGCATTGAAGAAGTAACACATTAACCAAAGTTTTAGCAACCCAGGCATGACTTTGCACTTTTCTTCTACTCTCTCATAGAAACTTCTGGCCTCTGGGGATGTGAGTGCAGCTTTTCTCTTATTGGATTCTCTCCCTTTAACTGGGAAGGGCTTATTCAAATTAAGAAACAGCTTATAAAACAACAGGAAATCTTTTTTTATGCTGTAGAGTTCCTTAGAGTGAACAGCTTTTTCACAAGGTAAGTACTGAATCAAATAAATTTTCCTAATACACACACATGCACACACACACATGCACACACACAGACACACAGACACACACTCAAACAGATGCACACACAAAGACACACATAATCATATACACATAGGCACACACACAAACACACACATGCACACACACAGACACACACAAACAGATCCACACACATACAAACAGACACACACACACACAACTTTTAGCACCTAAAAATACTTCAGCACAAGAAAACTTGTGTTTTGTACTCGCATTATGCAGGCTTGTTGTACTTCAGGACTGCCTAAGAATTATTGATTTCATTTCTGCTGAATGCATTGTTATAGAAATGCAAAAATGAAGGATTTAGAAAATTGGGTTGTGAGGATTTACTTGTAAGTGACAAATTAACTTCTTAAGGAAGAAACAGGGATAACAGCCCTTACAAACTGTCATTACATCCAGGGAAGAGAAGCATGGCACTGATGCTAGAGTTGCTTTCTCCATAGAAGAAACCAGTCTGCACTTGCGGACTGGGATGCTGAGGCAGAATATAAGGACAAGGAGAATTAAATAGGTAAGGGGAAAAATGAACTCCTCATTTTTTGCTGAGTGCGATTTTGGTTAAGATCATGAATTATGCTTGCAGTCAAAACATTTGCCTTGATCACTGACAAGTTTTGACTTGTATTCTATCTTATCTGCCTATAACCCAGTGGAATATGCCCTGTAAAGCACATATCAGAGAAATCAAGAACCATGTACAATCTATTTTACTATGGGGAAACTCTGTATAAAAGTAAGCATCTCTAAACATGCTGCCTAACTTTTTAATCCTTTGGACAGTTATAACTACGAATTTAATGTAACTATGTGTGGATAGCTATTGTTAAGACAGCTCTCTCTCTCTTTCTCTCTCCCTGTGTGTGTATGTGTGTGTGTGTGTGTGTGTCTTTCTTTGTATTTCTATCTCTCTACCCATACAAACACTTGGGATTATACAACTACCCTTTTCTTTTTCAGAAATAGTGAGTGTACACTCCCTATATAAAGTAACTGAGTTCATTAAAATACTTGCAATTGAGTGCATCATTCTGCTTTGACTGTATTTATCCCTGCTGTCCTCTCTTGCCCTTTCTCTTTTCTTAGTCACCTCCCTTGCCCCAAATAGTCCTCCTCCTCCCTCCCCCTTTCTCTCTTTCTGCTCCCTCTTTCCTTCTCTTTTTTCTGCTTCCCTCTCCCCCTCACTCCCTTTCTCCAATTTAATCTACTCTAAAAACATTTTTTAGGCAATAGATTTTCAGAGTTTATTTTCTTTTCATTATATGTACAAAGTATCTTGGCCTTATCTACTCCCCACTCCCTTTCTTCTCCCTCTTTTTAACTCCATATGCCACGTCTACTTACATCTCCCTCCAGCTCCCAGGCATCTTCTTGCTTTACCACCCATTGAGTCCTATTAGTTTTTCCCAAATGCACATAAATGTGGACTGTTCACTAGGTCATGAGCAGCCTACCAAAGGTGACCCCCAAGGGAGAAGTGACTTGTCACTTTCTCAGCAGCTCTCTGTTCCCAGTAGCTCTTCAATTAGGTATGGAACGCTGGGAGTCCCTTCTCTCTCATACTGCAACTTTTAACTGCATTGATTTTGTTCAGGTAACCATGATGGTTATGGGTTCAAGTGTCCAAGTATGCAACAGCCATGTCATGCCAGGAGGATGGCTCTTGATAGCACCCTTCCCCATTTTCCAGTTTGTAGATTCTTTTTACCTGTTCTTCTACTCTACTGTGCTCAGAAGTTGGCTGAGCCTTGAGTGGAAGACAGGGCCCTTTCTTTATGAGCTACAACTTTGCTTTATGACATATACTGAAATCCTTCTCTGGGGCATCAGTCCAAGTATCCCAGCTTCCAGTGAGCAGAGTCTCTGAGTAAAAATCCTTGAGCAGCTACAGCTGGCACCATCGAGCTACATCTCTCACTGCCAGCAACTATCTCCTAAAACCATGTAGGCTAGTAAAGCCAAGCTGAGATTTATTGCTATAGAAACAATTCATTTTACATGTCAGGATTTTTATCAATTTACCACTAATTAATCAGATCACCAGCCACCCTCTCTGTAGGATTCAAGCATCTCTTAGCACAGCAGAACAACGGCAGGGACAGAGTTGCCAAACCTCAGCACCACTGTGAGTTGTGCGTCCTTCCTGGGGAGATATGAATTAGTACCTACTAACCCCAGATAGGGCACCACTGACAAATGAAGGAAACTCTCTCATCCACATCCAGCTTGGTGAACTAAGGACTTTATTGAGGTGACTTCAAGAACCATGGGTGACTCAACAGTGTTTGTAATGACTCAAAGCTGCCTCCTAGAGCTTCTTGCCTGGGTTGTCAGAAGCTCCACTAAAGACAATCTTTTCTCATCAATCATTGACTGTGTTTATCAGTCTGGGGAGTTGCCTTGTGTATCTGGTAGTTTTTATGATCTTCCTTTAACTCTTCTGTTTCCTTAGCTTCCTTAGACCCCTAAGCTTAGTTCTTTTCTTCATAATACTATAATTTAGTTCGGAGGAAATAGCTACACAACACTACCCATTTTGACACTACCCTTCCTATAAATGGATTCATTCCCTGTTTGAGGATGTTGAGGAGGATTTTGACCTCCACCACTCAAGAGTATTTCACATGTATATTCCCTATCTTTAGCCTGTGACAGCCCAAGGTCTTCCCAGTCTCAGCAGCAGGGAAGCATGCTGAGCTCTGGCTGAAGATCAGTAAAAAAACTAACTTCTCAAAGACTAGCACTTGAGAAGCATGAATAGAAGGGACAAAAACTGGAGCATCGGACAGTTAGCTAGAATGCACAGATCGTAAGAATGTGAAAGTCAACAATACTATGGGACGAATTTACCACTGGGAGGAAATGGACTATTATAGAAGAGAGATTGTGAGATTCTCTGGAAGTCCAGATGTCAAAGTAACCAGGTCTAACAATTCACAGGAAATAATTCTCTGGGAAAAAATATTGAATAGATGTTATAGAAGATCAGACTGGCAACATGCTGCATAGTAATTCTTGTGTGAAATGTGGTCCTGATTTGAAGGGATGAAGAAGCATCTCAGATCTTCAAAATCATCTCTTTCTAGCACACAGCAACCCAACCCCAGTCAAAGGGATAGTGTCCCCCATTCTCTTAGCTGACTTGCCCTCTCCTTTGTGTCACTTGCTTAGCCACCTGAATCAGAATTTGTAGGTGGAGGTTCCTAGAAACAGGAACATGAAGTTACTTTTGACCGCATTCTGCTCTGCTGGCTTGCACAAAGCATATGAATACCTGCAAAACCCTACAGGGAAAGAGCCAAATCAGACAGTGTTCATTCCCTGATGCATTGCAATTGCTCTACATGGGGTTGCTGATGTGTTCAAACACATGCTCGTCTCCTTGGACTTAGGGCAATGGCAGCCTGCTTGTACAATGCTTGTATTATGAGTGTTATATATATTCATTTATTGTATTTGTCATTGGTCCCTGAAGGTGGGCAACTGTAACTGTCTCTATAGTCAGATGAGAAACTGAGACTCTGGTTTAGTAATCTACAGAGTCAACATGTCTCTAAATGGATGGGCTTATCTGTAAGACTCCCTTCTACCTCATAAGCATTGGACACTCTTAACAAGATGTTGGGATTCACCACAGATGTGAATTTACTACTGGACTCATTATAGATTTGTTCTCTTAAAAAAGAACCTTGTTTTCTTTTCAAAGTTTTTTTCTTGACATTCAGTTAAATTGTACTTTGTCTCTTGTTTTTATTTTGAGATAAGATCTGATATATATAGTTGGCCTCACACACTCACACACTTTATTCTTTTGCCTCAACATCCCAAGTACTGGGGTTATAGTCGTGTACCACCATACACAGAAGCCAGTTGTCTTAATGGAATAAATAGAGTTCTATTACTTCTCATCATACTGAGTTTCTTAAGCCTTCAAAGGAAAGTACTGAAAATCTTTACCAAACTTTCTTTCCCTGCAGTTCCCAAAAAGCTGTTCACAAAAAGGCATTCATGAACTAGAGACTCCATTTTTCCTTCTTCAACTTTGACTCGGCTGAAGGACTCTGGGAAAATAGGCAGTAGGCCCTGAGGAGAACAGCATGGGGCTCAGGGAGGGCTCCAGGGTGGACCGGAGAAGTCTGGACCTGTAGCAGGAGAAAGTTGATGATCAAATGCTATGAGAGTGGGAGAGTATTGTTTCTCTCTGAACCTGAGGAAACCCTCTGTTAGTGGAGCACCAGGGACCATTCCCATGGTGGTTGCAGACTGGGCGGTTAGTCCTCAGAACTCACTGTGACTGAGCATCATGTTGAGACCCCATTGAAACATTCAGTGTCTCTCGTTCTCATTCTGTTGACTTTGTGAGGCTGAGTGGTAAGCTTTGTTCTGGCCGCGAATTGACCTTTGGAAGGCTGTTGTTTGGAAATGGACAATGTTAGCATAGAGAGCATTATGATGAAATACTATGGAATGTGATCCTCTATTAATGGTAATAGGATTAGTGAGCAGATATAAATCACTTGGCTCTGTGTCCCCAACAATCAAATACCTGAAGCCAAGTGACCTCCACTCTCCCTTTCGTCCTGCTAATTAGCCCCTAAAAAACATGAAATATTCACATTCTACACTGTAAGAACGATGGAATGATTGCACTGTCAATCTTTCTATAGCATAAAGGTCAGAGTTTAGGATTACTCTATATAAGCGATGATATTTATAGAAGTTTGCTATTTAAATACAAGTGCACATACTTTAAAAAATACACCTGCTGGTAAGGACAAGGATATTTTTTCAAACTTCACAACACCAAAACTTTCCAAGAAGAAATGTTAAGGTTTTCTGACAATCTTTGAGTGTGTACAGGGAAAGGGAGATTCCCCCAAGTCCAGCACTGGAGCCTCTGGTCTCAGTGACTCCTGGGTGTTTAGTTTACTCTCCTGACCTCATTGGTTCCATCTATCCCAAAATCCAATGCTCTTTTTCTCTGATTCTTTGCTGTGTTCTACCTTCAAGCCATCTGAAATGGCTTCAAGCATCAAATTCCCTTGACGGACTCCGCAGGATCCCTTATCCACGCACAATGACCAAATGAGTATAGACACATGCATGTATCCACACACACAGTGCACACACAATTAACTAAAACACACCCACTTACTTAACTCTTTCTGCACGCTCACACTTTCTATCCTCTTCTAGTTCTTTAAAAAGTGGATTTCATAACACACCTAATGATTTCCACCGTATTTTGATAACCAATATCATAATTAATAATATCTTTGGTTTTGAATAGAAGCATGCATACTGGAAAAAGCACTTCCTTTTTGGCAGGCTGCCTTAGACACCTGTCTCTACAGCCTTATACTGCAACTAAGTTTCAAAAGTCCCATTAGGCAATTTTTATTAGGATAAAATGAAGATGAATTGATGAGGGTATCCAGTGTGACAGACATGGACACCCCTGAACTTGATTGTGTATTCTGTAAAATGAACTCAGCAAGACCTCTTTTTCTTGCTTTCACATAGAAATGCAGACACAAAAAGAAAACCACATTCCAAAGAAACAAGCAATTTATGTCTCTTGGCAGAATACGGCAGATTTAGAGGACAACTGAGTTATTCTTGGCACACACTCTCCATGTGGTAAAACACATTTTTGAAGCCTAATCTCTGCTTTTTGATTAAGTGCAGTCTAACAGCCAAATGGCCGAACAGTGCCTGCTGCCCTGGTCATTGCTGCTAGCCATGTTCTAGGGTCTTGAGTGCTCAGTTATGAGCCTTCTTGCATGAGGATACAGACCCTTCTTGGTGTTATTCCTCTCTGTGAGTTTTCATGTGTAACATTGGTTTGCTGTGATTGTGAACAATGCATTGAAGTTATCTGATATTCAATTTCCTTAACTGAATAATGAGAAATAGCCATTTCATGTGGTCATGTGATTATTAAAGATGACATGTCCGAAAGGATCTGAGCTGGGCAAGTAGCTCAGGAATATAGAGTTTGTCTAGTATATGTAAAGCCTGGGTTAGACCTTCACCAAGATGTGGAGGAAGAAGGGGAGACAGAAAATAAAAGTGGGGTGTAATGGGTGGGACCATTAGAGGTCTACAGTGAACTGTAGTTTGCTGGTACTCTGTTTGTCTCTTGGGTCCCACACATTATTATCCTCCAATCTGAAAAATAAAATAATATTTAGAAAGTCACATTTTAACCAATGGAGACACTGAACTGGTTTGGCACAATCAGAGGGTGGTTCTGGATGGGTAACGATTTTGATCAAGAAACATATTACTGGAATGTCTCCAACCCTGCCATGAGGAAGGCAGACATCTCTTCAGTGTAGCTGCTGTCCAAAGACCCTGACAGGACAGACTTAAGAATAAGGTGTGTTTCATTCCTGTTTAGGAAAACCAACTGATTGCTGCCATGTCAGGGAAGCCTGTCCTTTACTATTTCGATGGCCGGGGCAGAATGGAGTCTATCCGGTGGCTCTTGGCTGCAGCTGGAGTAGAGGTATGTTCTGACCTGAGTCATTTTAAGGTGAACGTGAAATTGACTTTACCAAATTTTCTTCATATGAACCATCAAAGTGTCTTCCTGGATGACCTATATTAAAACCTGCCAACTATTAAGTTACCCACATATTTATTCTAATAAATTATTAATTGTTTTCATTAGCAATTAACTTCTCAGCAGTTAAGAGCACTCTCAACAGATGAATCTAAAATGGCTGAAAGACTCTTAAGGAAATGCCATCAGAGAAATGCAAATCAAAACAAGTCTGAGATTCCATTTTACACCTGTGAGACTGGCCAAGATAAAAAACACTGACGACAACTTATGCAGGAGAGGGTGTGGGGTAAAGGGAACATTCCTGCATTGATGGTAGGAGTGCAAGCTGGTATAGACACTTTTGATATCAGGATGGTGATTTCTCAGAAATTTAGGAAACAACCTTCTTCAAGACCCAGCAATACCACTTTGGGGTATATATTCAAAGGATGCTCAATTATGCCACAAGGACATGTGCTCAACTATGTTCATAGCAGTATTGTTTGTCATAGTCAGAATCCAGAAAACCTAAATGCCCCTTGACTGAAGAATGGATAAGGAAAATGTGGTACAATTACACAATGGAGCTCTACATAGCGGAAAAAAATAATGACATCTTGAAATTTGCAGGCAGATGGATGGATCTTGAAAACATCATATTGAGTGAGGTAATCCAGACCCAGAAAGATATATATAATATGTACTCACTCATAAGTTGCTTTTAGACATAATCAAAGAAAAACCAGTCTACAATTCACAACCCCAGAGGACCTAGACAACAAAGATGATCCTAAGAGAGACATACATAGATCTAATCTATGTGGTAAATAGAAAAAGACAAGATCTCCTGAGTAAATTAGGAGCATGGGGACCATGGGACCATGGTAGAAGGGGAGGAGAGAAGAAATGAGGGGGAGCAGAGAAAAATATATAGTTCAATCAAAACAATTTTTTTATAAAAAAGAGAAAACAAAGAGCACTTGCAACTCTTCCAGAGAACCTGAGTTCAATTCCCAGCACTCACTTCAAGCAGTGACAACCCCTGGAACTCCAAGTCCAAATATGTGGGTTCTCCTGGCCTCCATGTATACACACAACACACACACACACACACCAGAAATGAGAGAGGGAATAAAAATAACTCTTCAAAAACACTAAAAGATGTCCAATTTATCAGTACTTATACAGACACATTAGCCTCAGTCCCATGGTGGCCTGGATCATTGGAGTCACCATCCTCTTCCTCTACACCTTGTCCTACTGGAAAGTCCTGGGACAGTGACATGCATGAATTGTTGTCCTCTATGAGGACAATGTCTTCTTATCTAGAGCAGCTGTTGAGGAGTCTTCCTGAGGCTCATCTGAGGTGATGTCACTCTGGCATGAGTTCTCTTGACATTCCTGAGAGCAGCTATTGGAGCACAATCTTCCTATGTGCAAACGAAAGGCTTTTCCATGTTGTGGTCCATGTTTTCAACTTTAAATGACTGTTCTTGTGAACACTCCTAAATGTCCCACCACACATCCACTTTTGTAATCTATGGCAGTCACCATGCAGAAATAATTCTGAAATTCTGCTAGTTATATTGATTACCTATGTGATTACCTTTGCACAGTTTATGGTTGATTCAAACAGTGTTATAGAGGGTGTGAGAGTACATGAAATCTGAGATTTCCTTCCAGAGATTACAAAAGAAGAGGTGTATATGAACCTCTGTCACTTGAGTTGACAATTGTTAAAAGTAAGTGAGAGGTGTAGTGAGGAACACAATATTTTTCTGTTACTTGTATACGTATCCAACACAGCAACAGTAAATGGACTGAAGCATACACTCTTAAAAAATTAATGTAATTACAATGCAAATACATGCTCCAGAAGAGGGATGGGCAGGAGACAAAGTACAAACCTTCTGTTAACCATGAAACAGGTTCATTCATATTATCCAGAAAAGTCAGCCTGTCTGCTCAGTCCTGCGGATACAGGCCATGAAAGGAGAGACGTAGTGCTGACCATTGGGATGCACACTTCAGCATAAGAACCACAGCTCTCATCTTAAAAGGAATCAGAGACAGTTTATTCTGGAGCCATTCCAGTGACCATTGCCAGGGAACACAGATTTAGTCTACCCTAAACTCCATGTTCTAAGATTGTCTTAGGGTTTCTATTACTGTGAAGTGACACCATGACCACAGCAACTCTAATAATAAGGGCTGACTCACAGTTTCAGAATTTAATCTGTTATCACATGATGGGACATGGTGACATGCAGGCAGACATGGTGCTGGAGAAGGAGCAAGGTTCTTCATCTTGACCTGCAGACAATAGGAAATGAACTGTCTACCACACTGGATGTACCTTGAGCATATGAGACCTCAAAGCCCATCCCCACAGTGACACACTCCAACAAGGTCACACCTACTCCAAATAGGTCATACCTCCTAATAGTGCCATTCCCTATGGGCCAAGCACTCAAATACAAAAGTCCATTGGAGCCATACCTATTCAAACCACCAGAAAAATGAAAATGACCAAAGATTGCTACCACAAAAAAGCAGTTTTACTGGGTTTTGTAGTTTTACAGAACAAAGAATGTCATGAATCAAGGCAAGTTTCAAAATCATTGATGGGCACACCAGAGAGGCAGGGCCAAGGAGGTGAGGGGAGCTATTCTACAGGCCTAACAGAAACTCTAATGACGTTCTTTGCTCTCAGATTGGTGGAAGCTAGTGTCCTGCTAAGTCAATACCTTCTAAGACATTTTAATCGCTTACGAGATATTAAGTCCAAGTTAATAGCTTCTAAAAGAAACAGAAGAGAACTGAAGCGCCATCACAAACTGTTTTCTTTATACAAACGGTCAATCGTTTTCCCAAGTAACCAGACGGCAGCCTTGTGTTTCAAGAGTTCCAAGCCTCTGGGCAGAGTGAGCTCAGTGCAGAAAGAGCAAGTGGCAGTGCTGCCAGCTTCCCCTCCTGCCTCTCAGCGTGACTGAAGAGCCTGCTGAGAACAAGTCGCCTGGATCCTCTGGCAGTGATCTACTGTGCACACGTGATGGTCACTACAGCCCCACCCATCAGCAGCAACCTCACCATCAACATCACACTCCAGCCCATCCCACCTTGCCCCTCCTTATGGGGCCCTGAGTGTGATACCATGTGATCATAGAGATCCACAAGAAACTGATCCATGGAGCATGCTCAGTAACCCCGATGTCCTGACATCTTACAACCAGAAACTCCAGAAAAGTCAAAAAGTCACTGACAATAATACTACTGTATTATGTAATAATACTTGCTTTCTGTAAGGCAAGAGAGGTACTGAGTGTTTTGAAAACACCCCACTATTCTTCTTTTTTTTTAATTGCTTTTACTGAGCCATATATTTTTCTCCACCTTACCCCCTTTCCTTCCCTCTCCCCTGTCCCATGATCCCCACGCTTCCAATTTGTTCAGGAGATCCTGTCTTTCTCTACTTCCCATGTAGATTAGGTCCATGTATGTCTCTCTTAGTGCCCTCTGTGTTGTCTAGCTTCTCTGGGATTCCTACAATTCTTCTAAAGAAGAATACACTTCCTCTAATTTACAAACGATCAGAGGAAGTCTTGCCTGTGTTGTTACACCATCTCACTGTGAGCATGAACCATGTAAGCAAACATGTCAACAAGAGTCTCATGAAATGATGACTTTCCATGGACATTTGGCTGGACTGTGCAGTATTTCCCTTCCTCTGGCATTCCTATACCATATGCCTTAATCAGCTGCATAGGTAGAGTTCTGGGAAAGACGGCGTTGACTACAAGAAGGAGAAGCAATGTGTTGTGACCACAACTCCTTTCTTAAAAGATCTGCTCTCGATTCCCACAATCCCTGATTAGTTCACCTGTGTCCTTGATAAATTAAAAAACATCTTCCTTCTCCCATATTATCTTCAGATCGGAGGCATTAAAGTGAAAAGCCTGAAATGCAATGATTAATTAATTAAGATGAATTTATTCTTTCTGTATTCTAGTTTGAAGAAAAGTTTCTGAAAACTCGGGATGATCTGGAAAGGTTAAGAAATGGTAAGAACAAAGATCTGAATGTCCCCGAGAGGGTTTCTGGTGGAAGCTTTAATCACTAGCCATTACCTATCTAAGTGGAGGAAATTATCAGACAGTAATTGATGAAAGCGTGGTAAATTGTATGTCATGGGTCTCTGTGAGCATTTGTATCTGGAGACTTTTCCGTGCCTCACCCAGTCCTGCAGCTGCTTTTAAAATAACGACCCTGAGGCGTAATATTAATTACAAACGGTTTGACCTATTAACTCAGGCTTACTATAACTAGTTCTTATAACTAAATCAACCCACTTCTATTAATATGTATATTGCCATGAGGCCTGTGGCTTACCAGTGGTGCTCCGGCATATTGTTACTTGGGTGGCTATATGGCGACTCTCTTGATCCCACCTTCTTTCTCCCTGTATTCAGTTTGGCTTTCCTGCCTAGCTATATTCTGCCCTGTCATAGGCCAAAGCAGTTTTATCCATCAAGCAATAAAAACAACACATATTCACAGCATACAGAAGGCCATCCCACATCACAGATGTGGTAAATATCTCAGTTAAAAGGGCTGAAATTCTCTCTGTGTTTGCTGAAACCACCCCCAAAGCCCTATAAATGGCCTGACTCTGTTTTCCCATGCTTGTTGCAGTTAGCTTGGGTTCCCAAACAGCCTTCCATCCACAATAAATTCACTAGATGCCAGAAGCAAATATGTCAGCCACTTATCCTGAGTTCTAATGGGTTTTACAAATAAATTCCCTAGCCATACTGCATTATAGGATTAACAGAAAGGTCATGTAGAATACTGTGAGGAAGGAGGAGAGAGATCAGGAGGAAGATCAACCCAGATATGTGAGGGTTTCGGGCCTACCCAGCACACACTGACCCTTGGTGTCAGTGAAAACACACAGGAAACCTACACAGAAGCAGCTTTATGACCTTTTCTTGATGTCATGAACAGTCAGAGACTCTGAGGCCATGTTATTATTTTTGGGGTACCAGCTAATGATACAGTTATACCTCCTTCAACTTCATCCCAAAATACACATGAACATGAGTTAAACACACCATCACATCCTGTGCAACAAATACAGAAGTACTGTCAATATGAAATAAAAATATCAATAAGATAATATTCTAGAACTTAGACACAAAAGACACAGAAAACAAAAAAATACATAAATGTTATGCATTGAAAAGTTAGTTATCAAGTAATTAATTGTTTTAAAATTTTCTGTTCTTTCATCAGATACCATTTGGTTTGAAGTTAGGAGTGTGTCTGATTATGGATTAACATACATATGTGTGTCTGTGGTATGTGTGTGTATGTATGTATTATATATAATATGCCCATAAACATCTTATGCTTTTTTTTCTCTTTGATTCATCTGATAGATGGGAGTTTGATGTTCCAACAAGTGCCCATGGTAGAGATCGATGGGATGAAGCTGGTTCAGTGCAGAGCCATTCTCAACTACATCGCCACCAAATACAACCTCTATGGCAAAGACATGAAGGAGAGAGCTATGTATGATGAATTTACTCTGGGAAATATTTATATTCTATCTTGAATGAACAGAACCATGGCAAAGGACTCATGATACAATGCCTGGGTGTTTGGGCATGCATACACTGACTTCAGTTAAGAAGAACGCTATGGAATTGAGGGAAGAATAGGAGGGCTTGGGTATGTCCTGTAGAATAGGAGATGCTGGAGTCTGGTTTCCGTTTGATTAGTCTTCAGAAGCAACATTCTAGCCAATAGCTTTAGTCATAGAAAAACTCTTTGTGTAGTGGTGTAGTATTTGTGTTTTAATAAATAAATCTTGCCTGAAGACCAGAGGCAAAGCTAAAGCTACCAGAGGTCAGGTAATGGTGACACACACCTTTAGTCACAGGATTTGGGGGACAGAGGCAGATGAATCTCTGTGAGTTCAAGGTCACCCTGGACTACACAAAATTAATGCAGAAACAAATCCAGGTGGCGGTGGCTTACACCTTTAATCCCAGTACTAGAGGTAATTAAAAAATGTGAGTAGAGAGAGAGGCATAGGCTGTTTAGTTTCCAGTCGCCCAGCCTTGGTAGAGGTAAGACTTTTCTAGTGATTTGACTGCTTTACTTTTCTGGTTTTCAGGTTGAAATCCACTTTTCTGTCTCTGGGTTTTTATTATTCATGCTACATCTTTGACTAGCAGTAAAGAGAAGGTTCCAAAGGGCTGATATTCCAGTTCTGATAATTACAGTCATGACCCTAGGTTACCATGTGAATCTACGTACAGTCAGGCTGATTGTGACCCATAGAGTCAGGTACAGGGACACCAGGGTTGCATGAAGCTTTTTCTGGGAAGGCTGTTCAGAGCTGTCAAGGCTGATGGAGAGGGCTTCTCTCTCCTGTGTTAGAATCACACCATTTATACCAAATCTTCTGTGGAACATTTTTTTTTCTCAAAAAGTGAAGCATCAGGTCACCAATAATCCTTGAGTTTCATTACCAGGTAAACACAAAAGAGCAATAAAAACACATCCTTTGGAGTGATTGTTCATAGATGTGTTATTTTTGTTCAAGAAGTGTAATATTCAAAAAGTAGAAAATGAGTCAAATTTTAACAGAAGAATCGATGACAAGAAGAGCATTTCTTACTAGTCCTTCGGGTCATTCAAAATGGAATGTTACTGGAGGTGGTGGTGTTTGCCTTTATCTCAGCACACAGTGACAAAGGCAGGAGAATTCTGTGTGTTTGAGGCCAGTCTGTCTACATAGTCTACAGGCCAGTCAAGCTGCATAAAGAGATCCTCTCTCCAAAAAAAGTTCTAAAACAATTGATAAACAGCAATAAAAATCTATTATTATGGGCTCCATATCCCCATTAGGGAAGAGCCATTTTACCAATGCCTTTTTTTGTTTTTCAAGTATAAAATCTGAGGCAAGAGGGATATGGCAGAACACATCTGTTTTTCAGCATTGATATGTATACTGAAGGTATGATGGATCTGGATGAAATGGTTCTCTATCAACCTTACCTTCCCAAAGAGGAGAAAGAGGGAAACCTTGCCAAGATCAAGGACAAGTCAAGGAACCGTTACTTCCCTGCCTATGAGAAGGTGAGTACAAGTTGCTTGAACTTTAGAGCATTCAGAGGGTCTATTCATCCTCAAGGGACATCTGAGCAGCTAACATAGCTGCAGCAAAAAAAAAAAAAAAATGCCTGCTTTCTGTCTGTGTGTTCAGTGGCAGGTGGGAGTGTGAGCTTGCTAGGAGAAGGAATGCCATTCATGAACTCTTAACCTTGAGGATCTCTCCGAGCTCAACTGTCCTATTTACTAACAACATCATTCTGTGGGTTAGAGTTCTTACCATCTTGATTTTAGGGAGAAACAGATCGGCAGTCCCAAAGGAGGCAAGAGGAAAAGGGTCTGGGTGTCCTTGGGTTGTTGGTCTTCACTCCCACAATGCACTTCATTGTTGTTAATTCAGCACCCAAGCACTCCAGGCATTGTGTAAAGGAGGAATATAAAGAGCTATTGACATAGTTAGAGCAAATAGCAGGCTTCATGTTCCCACAAAATTCTATTTTCCTGTGACTCACCATAGAATTTTTCTGACAGATTTCACAGTCACGTTTAGAACTTGGACCTATGTAAGCATCTGAGCCACACTAGAGGCTGGACCTGATTGAACAGAACTCTGCAATCTTTTGACTCTGGGGCATCTAAATGAGGGTAACACATCAGAAACTATTCTTCTACCCCAAGTATAGGGAGACCTGAAACAGGTTCCCATTAGGAGAGTATCGTACTGCTTCAGGATGGATGCATAGAGGCTACACAATCTTGACAGAGCCACAGAAGGGAAGAGACAGTGAGGAGTTGAGAAGAAAAACTGATTGCCAGAATTAGGAACACATCTCTCGATTTTTTAAGAGAAAGTTGCACAAGAATATGAGAATTAAGTTCTATTTTCATATCCATGTGTACGTGAGTTTGTTGTATGTGTGCCATCCTACTTGGAGATCCAGTTACAGATGAAGAGGCCATGTTTTATAAACACACTATGTCAGGTGAAACCGAACAAGAAGGAATATCTATGTCAGTGTGGCAGGAGCCTTGCAGACAGAGGAAGAAGCATTTGGCTTTGGAAGGCCAGTCACCTCTACCTCACTGCCCACAGCATTTCTCCTTTATTCTGCAGGTTTCAGCAATGCTGAGGTATTTCAGCAAATAGCTCATATTGTCCTCATTTGTTCCGTAAAAACTTACTTAGCAATAGATTATTCTTCCTTCGTTCTTCAACAAATCTGAATTCATTGATGTTTATTGGATCCAGGGCGCAGATAATAATATAGATGCCCATTTCCTCACATTCTCCCTCTTGGCCCTTGGGATCTGACAGATTAGGATTTATTCCATGAAGAGATGCTCTCTGTTCATTACAGCTTGTCCCCTATACAGTAAAAACAAGCCCCTTGAAGATCAATAAGACATGTAAATTATAGTATCATTTGGTTCTTTTACCAAGAAGTCATTCAGATTTCTATAGGTATACAAAATATGATATGTATTTGATAACATATTATTTTTAATTGGTAGCACTATGGTGAACTTTTTATTCTTCATGACTTTAACATTGCATGATTATCTTAAGAAATATTGCATATTACTCAAATAATTTTTATAAAGACTTTCATTCATCTACAAAGGTAGATATAAGCATGGTGATGCAAGCATGTAAGCCAAGCTCAAGACGTAGAAGATGGAGGATCAATTTGAGACTAGGTTAAGTACACAGTGAGTTTGAGGCCAGCCTGGGCTACAGCAAACCCTGTCTTCAAAAGAGGAAAAGAGGAAGGAAGGAAACCTACTTAGTTAGTTAGATTAAAGAACATATGAATGCATGGGTATCATCTACATGATGCTGAATTCAGCATCCTGTGGTTCCGGTTTTGTTGTATGAGTTCATTTCTCCCCTACCCCACCTACATACTCTTCTTTCCACGATGGTATTTTTCCCCTAGCATTCTCAAATTAATTGGAGACACACACGCAGTGACCTCTTTGTTGCTTCAGCACTGCAGAAGGAGGATGCCTAGGATAAAAAACCTGAGCTAGTGTTGCAGAGGAGAAAAGGATCAAGCTTACTCTTGATGCCGTAAGATATAAGGACACTGGGAGAGAAGAACAAGAAGGAATGTAGTCACCGAAGCAGTTGACTCAGGTGTGAAGGGCGTATTCACACAGGTGACACCACTTCCCACTAAGAGACTGCAGAGTACAATTAGGGGACACCCTCAAATGTCAGAGTTTCACTTCCTTAACAGGGAGGCAGAAAGAAACAGAGAAGCTAGTACTGAAAGTTTCAAACATGTATGAAAAGCAGCGACGGACAGATGGCCAAACAATGCATGAAGCACTGCTTCTTGAATTTGTTCGTGAGTCAGAACTGACAGGAAAGTGTGGGGTTCCGTACACACATGAAAAGGCAGGAGAAGGGAATTTGATTTGAGAAGCTCAGAAGAAGCCATGGATGCCCCATTCTGATGGCTGATAGTCTTCAAGATCTAACTAACATCTTGAATCCCACAGGTGTTAAAGAGCCATGGACAAGATT